CTGTTCCACAAAATCTTGGCTATAATATGACAGTTTCCAACATGTCACACATAATTCAGACACAGACATTCTCAGTAATTCTCATTATTGCTTTTTTCCGCCTAGTATACTTTGGTTTGTATTTCTTTTCCTAAAAAGCTCAGCTCTTATTGAATTTGAGCTGAAAAAATAATACACAGTGTATTTCTCCACATCTCCCAAGAAGGTTACTAGATGAATGTTGAAAAAAACACTAGCGGCTTGTGTACACAGCCATTTGAATCTGTGACAAGAACAACCAAATGATGTTCTGGTGGAAAACAGGCATGTATTCATAAAGCTTATATAGATCATAAGACTACATTACTCATACATTCCCAGAATAGTTTGAGATTGCATTCCGAACAAATGCTTCCTGCAATATCATAGTTACCTGTAAATGAATCTTATTAAATGATTCAGATTGAGTCAATTGTGTGAAACTTTGAAATTAGCTGAATCTATATTGGTTTTTGACACCACACCGTAGCAAAGCTGCAATTCGCTGTATCTCAAGACAAGCAATTATCTCCTTGTTCTACTTTTTTGTCAAATCAATTGTCCAGGTCAAATAAGGTAATATATTGGCACAAACCTCACTGTATATTAAATTGGAAAACAAAAGTAAATCTTATAGGTCCTGTTCTGCAGCCTAGGACCACCATCCAAAAGGACATTCCCCTGTAGATATCTGCCTACTGGGCTTAACTTTCTAAGTACAATATAACCTTCTTATAGCAATATAGACTTTTAATCCTTTCCATATGGAAGATAGTTATTAAAATTACCTCTATAATATAGATAAAAAATAACAGTGCTGACTAGTATTGCCAGTATTTTATGCCACATCTTCAGGGTGTATATCTGTCTCTAAGTGGGAGTGGGTGGGGAGAAACTAATAGGTTTCCAGATTATCAAGGTGTAACCCATATTAACAAATTCATATCACTCTTGTAATCTTTTGCTCTATTACACAAACAGATGACATCAAGTGCAACCCAACCCTTGTTATGATCTGTACTTTTATTTCATAATGTCTTATTTTGTCTCTTGACAGACTCTTGATTGTTTCCATATTTTTCTAGATTGGTTTAATGTCCCTAAAGGCTTTCCCTACTCTGTACATCATTTTGTCTTCCTTCTTTTGTCTCTTGCTGCTAACAGATAGAAGACTGTCAACATTGCAGTGAAATGCTGCAAGATAGACTAGATTTCTCAGAAATGATTGTTACAGGTTTTGACTGTAATTACATATTCTGCTCATGAAATCTTCTTTGAAACACTGCTATACAATGGAAATGCTAAAAACATTCAGTGTGTTTAAGAAACTCAACATGCAGCAGCTTTAGAAGATCAGTGTAAGCTTTGGGATAGTGTTCTTTTTCAAGACACTTTTGGCAAATTTGCTATATCTGAAAAGGCATGTTCTCTCCCTATTAATCTTCATATCTTTTTTTAGTGGAGCTTAAAGTGCCAATGTACACTGTTCAAGAAATGAAAAACCATGGTGAAATGCTAGCTGCTGATACAATACATCTCAATTTGGTGCTTTCTTTTTATCGTGAACATAGAAATGAAGAAAAAGATATAGTTTATTGTGGCTATAACTTTACCGTAACCTGGAACACAGAAATGTAAAACTCCAGCTGGAAGACCTTTAGAGACATGAAATCAGTCCTAATGCTAAAGACCCAAGACCTAATCTGTCAAGGTCTAGTGGGTCTGGAGCAGTGAGGAAAGCTGCTTCTGTCTTTAGCAAGATCAGCAGTAACTAACTAGTATGGTCTAGGACAGGCAAGATGCTGCTTACATAGACAGTAAGAAAAGGTCAAGAGAGACAATAGCAAATAATATAACTTACCAGTGGTTCTCAACCTGGGGTCCCCAAATGTCTTTGGCCTACAACTCCCAGAAATCCCAGCCAGTTTACCAGTTGTTAGGATTTCTGGGAGTTGAAGGTCAAAAACATCTGGGGACCCCAGGTTGAGAACCACTGACTTAAGCTAAACAGAAGATCAGATTCCAAAGAGAAGGGAATGGAGCAGATAGTTAGCCAAGTAGGGCCCAACTGGACCTATTAGGGGTAGTGGTGGAATGAGCAACCCCCCTGTCCTTGGACAGTCAACAGTACACTTTGAAGCTGGGTTTTTGAAGACATGTTCAAGTCAAATCAGTCTTGAGGATCATCTGACTTATGGGTGATTCCCATTGCAACCTTGATGGCAACTCAGAGGAACAGCTTTCAATCCAGCCTTTCTCAATTTGATGCCCTGTGGATGTATCACACCACTCAACCTTTGTCATTTGCACCTGTGTCCTCTATAATGAGTTTAATTTGGAAAGCACTAGGCCTGGGTAACAACGGAAAAAATTGTTTCTAAAATCGATTTGTATTTGGGGTTTTTTTTTGTTTCGATATTTAAAATAATTACAAAATTTTCCTTTTAAAAAGTTCGATATTTACGAAATTTCGTAAATGGTAAAAAATTAACGAATCGATTTCCAAAACAATAACGAATCGATTCGTTAATGGCGGACGCGACCGCGAAATATGTTAAAAAACCTCCAAAACCTTCTGAAGCTTCCCTCTCCCTCTGTTGTTGACTGTTGGTGTGATATTATAATTTTTTTTCACTAATTAAACCATAAAACTGGCCCAGACATGCGGAAATAATAACGAAAAACCTCAAAACAATAACGAAACGAATACAATATCGAAATACGAAGCATTTACAAAACGTTTTTGAAAATTCGTTTTTTTTAATAATTGCTCCAGAATGGTTCGTTATCGTTTTGTAATTGAAAAAAATTAACGAATTATTAACGAATTACGAATTAACGAAACGAAACCGCCCAGCCCTAGAAAGCACATTTATAACACCCCAAAACTGAAATGGCTTAATATCAACTTTCGGTTTTCATTTTTGGGTTTTGAAGATTGGGCTGGAAAGGTCTATGTTCCACACAATGCAAAATATCCACTCTTAATGCTGAAAAAATAAGCGTTGGCAACATCACACCAGGATAAAATGATTGTTAGTTCATGCATGGCTGATGGAACACACTTGCCTACTTCTGCATGAAATCATACAAGTTCTCGTCCCCCAAAAAAGGGTAGAAAGCAGACCGAAAAGGATATACTTGTTTATGCATCTTATTCAGGAATACTTGGATTTGGACTGCCATCACATGCTCAACCATCTTATTCAAAGAAATACAACATTAGACTGACAAATATTAATTAACTAACAATTATTAAGATAATATTATTGTCTCAGATATGTTCTTGGGTTAGAGATTAGTGCTATCTGATGATTGAGTTTGATGATACACTTGAGATCGGTCAATATTAATAATTATCTAAAAGAGGTGTACAAAATGCCAAAAATGTGTTTAGTTTGTAATTACGAAATATAGATGAACCCAGATTTCTTTCTTAATGAGTCTGTTTAATTTCTATTACGAAGTTGGGAAAATTTTGTTAGTATTTCATTTTGTTATTCTGATCATTCGCGCCAATGGGAAAATGTCTGTGTCTCCTCTCTCCCTTATTTTATGGCTCTCTGGATGAAACTTGCTACAATTGTAGCACACATTTACCACTGCAAGCCTCCAAAGTTTCAGAATGTTTTACTCATCCACTGATCATTGGGAATATTTTGAAGTTTTTATGAACTTTTTTAAAAAATCTACAAGTCTGAACTTTGTATAATTTTAGTTTTCAACCAATAATAAGATTTGTAATATGGGAAATGAAAGCAAAGGAAGGGGTAGTAGGTGAGTTGCAGTTGGTACGTGTTAGTTCTATAATTTACTCCAAAATATGATAAAGGAAAGGAACAGGTTGGTTGGTACTAGACTAGAATTCTCAATTGACTACAAAATATTAGTTAATATGGCCCTGCAGTAGCACTCTGGCAACTTGGGATTTTCCTCCCTGAAAAGATAATAAACAAGCACTGTACGTTGTAAAATTATACTTTTGAACCACTAATATATTTTTAATATGGGAAAGAAAAGCAAAGAAAGAAGTTGGGACTTGCAGTTGGTACTTGGTAGTATTACAATTGTCCCAAAATATGGCAAAGGAAAGAAACAGGTTAATTGGTAGAATAGAATTAAAATAAAATTAAAATAGACTAGAAAATAAAGAAAGCAGTTTGTAGAATTTTAAATTAAAGAAATCAAAAGGGGGGAAATCTAAAGGAGAAATGGACCCCCCCCCCAAATGAATCCAAAATGAACCTCCCCCCCCCCCCCCACACACACACACTCACTCACTCACTCACAAATGATCCTAAAGGGATTCCAAGCTGTTTGAGCAGTAAACTGCAGTCTGGCTGCTGCCAAAATGATCCTAAAAGGAATCCTAAGGTGCTAGGCAAACTAAAAACAAAAAGCTACTGCATGGCACATGCCAAAGTTTTCAAGAACAGAGAAATTGAGCTCCTGCATTACCCTCAATCTACCTCCCAGCTTGCACAATGGCAACAGAGGTAATGTGGCTCCTGCATTTAAGGCAATAACCAGGGCTCTGCCTCCTCTCTTCCTCTCTCCCTCAGCTCTGATAGTCTTAGGAGAATATGTGACAATCTTTTGGCTGTGCCTCCCTTGTTGTTTGCTTGCACTGAAAAACAAGTTGACTTATGCAGACTAACAAAAATTGATGAACTTCTTATAAAAACTTCATAAATTTTTATTTATTTGTGTACATGGGGGCAGCTCTAGCTTGGTAAATCAGGTCATAAGTACAGATTCACCAAAACATTTACAACTTATGACCCACATCTTATTTTTTGCACAGCTCTATTATCTAATAGGAGATAGATAACCACTTTCAATGACAATGGAATTAGTGATGCATTCAGAGCTTGGATTAAAACTTCTGTAATCTTGTCAGCAGAATGGCCACCGGCTATATTAGCTGGAGATTCTTGTAGTTCTGAGAATTAAGGTTTTCCATCTCTGCATTGTTAACTCACCTCTACCATCCAATGATCCTCCATACAGTCACCAACTGGCCAAGAAGAACATAGATAAAGTGTGCAGCTTTTAGGGCCTTAAAGAAAAAAATATTTTATCTTACTTTTTAAGCTTACATTTCACACTGTTATTTCATCACCAACATTGAAAGAAAGAAAATGTGAGTCTAGAGATATAAAATGTCTCCCCATCTATATTATCTAAGACTATCTTGTGTTCTAAATGTATTATGAATGTTTCATACCAAATTAGAAGTTCATCAATTTGGAATTTGTCACAGTTCTGATTTCTTCTTGCACGCCACCTGTGAAATGGTGGTAGTTGAACTTTACTAGCAATAAAATTATGAATGTGATATTACAATGCCCCCAGGGCAGGTATTACTGTCAAATATTTAATTATATTTAGCATGCATCCAAATTGCCCGTGAGTTGCAAAAGCATGCAAAAAGCTGACCAAAACCCACTAGTTCACTTTAACTTTAAAGCAGATGTATTTTTAATTTCAGTACATGTTTGTTTATTAAAGGTCTCCATGGCTCAAGTATTTTAGAGAGCTGCTGTAAGAAATTTTATTATATAATTATACATCCCCGTTAAAGAAGGTGCAAAATGAAAATATCAACAGTTGTGCTCACTGGCAAAAGCATAGAACCCCTTAAAAGAACAATATGTGCAGGAATTCTGGCTTCAAATTTCTAAAAGCAAAGAAAAATATATTTTCTTTAGAATCATTTCTTGTCTAACTGCAGAACTTCTAACTTCTTTTTAATCCTGCCATCAGAAGATACAGACCACCAGTGAAAACACTTCCAAAAGACTTACAAAGTCCTTCTACCATAGGAATTTTCTATAAACACTATTGTGGGAAAAGAGATGAGTTTTTCAGAGGAGGAGGGAGGAGGGAGTCAGGTGCTAGGCCTTACCCTGGGGCTTGTCTCCACCCACTCGGCAGCAGCCTCATCCTCTTCGATGAGTCTGCTGCTTGCCACCTCAGAGGCCCAGCCTGGCAGTGCCATCAACTTGCCCAAGGGGCCTCCAAGGCGGTGAACAGCAGACTTGGCAGTGGACAAGGCCGCTGCTGAGTGGGGACGCTCCGCCCACTCGGCAGCAGCCTCGTCCTCTTTGCCGAGTCTGCTGCTTGCTGTCTCGGAGGCCCCTTGGGCTCTGTTGACAGCACTGCTAGGCTGGGCTGAGTTCTCAAACCAAGCCTCAGCCCAGCCTGGCAGTGCCATCAATGGCGCCCAAGAGGCCTCTGAGGTGGCGAGCTGCAGACTCAACGAAGAGGATGAGGCCGCTGCCGAGTGGGCAGAGTGTCCTTACTTTGCGGGTTTTCACTTATCGCAGGTGGTCCTGGAATGGATAACCCACGATAAATGAGGGAATACTGTATTTGGGAAATTGCAGTCAAAACAATAGCTTTGCCACATTCTACCTATGAGATTCATGTCTGACTTGACAACTGAGGTCAATGATTGTAGTTTAAGGCTTCTCTTACTGGCATATCTCCCAATATAGCCTTTTTTGCTAAGTGACAGAAACTGAAACCATTTAAGTAAATACAACAGGGCACATCCTTCCCAACTGCTCTCTAGATAATGGAAAACTTTTAAACTCACAATGTAAAGTAAGAACCAAGTGGAATAAAATTCTTTATTTTAGACTATTGTGGCATCTCACTATTACAAAAAGCGGAATGGAGCTACTAATCCATCTCCTTTAAAATAAATAATACAACAACTGTTACAATAAAGAGGTTTTAGGTCAAACAAATAGTTTGACAGATTGCAACAACTGGCAGGGAGCAGCACAAGCTTCAATGTGAATCGGAGGAGAGTTGATAGCTGACAAAAATGAATGGCAGGTGGGTTTTTCTTCTGATTTTTTCTGGTAAGAAAGAGAATCTCTAATATCCTTCATCAGCTTGTTGAATAGTTGGTGTGCTGGAAGGAAAATGGTTCTACTCTACCTTAGCACCTCTCATCAGATTACCATAACACAGAGATACATGCCAAATCAAACATGCCTGAGGCATTTGAATTGGCATCTTTGGTGCAAATAATTTTGCTAGAGCCAGATTTATGTACTCAGCAGAATTTCATTTCCACTATGACCTGCAAAGTGAGTGGTAATATGGTACTTCTGTATACATCATAAACAAATGAACAAGAAAGAATGCTCATTCTCTGCATTCTTCACTGGAAAATAGGGGTGTCTTCTACTGTTTCCTAGAGCAGTAGTTTTCAAACTTGGTCCTCCAGATGTTAGGTGCCTCCTAGATTGACTATCTTGGCTGTATATAATGAGAGTTGTAGTCTCAAACCACCTGGATCATAACCCTGCAACATTTCTCAGATGAAAGGTAGGATACATGTGTCCATGCAACATCAAAGTGTTATCAAGATAGCTTATTAATGAAAAAGAACATAGAACTAGGAGAAGTTGGAGCACTTTGAGCACATGTAAGATTTCACTCCTTTCCTCTTGTTTCTCCTTTGCTAATTGAATGCAAACTAATGTTACACTGTGAATTTAGTTTGCATCAATGGAAGTACACTGAAGACACAGAGGGAAAGTGGGTGGAGGAGAGAAACACTGGAACATTTGTAAAACAACTGAAAATGTGGGATAGCAAAAGATTAATCAGGATTGCCCCTGTCAAACTAGAACAGCTGGAAGGTATGCTAGATAACCAAGTGTCAGAATAGCCAGGGGGGCTTTTGCACAATTAAAACTTGCACATCAACTGCGCCTATTCCTTGAGAAGCCAGATCTTGCCATGGTGGTACATACATTAGTTACATCCCATCTGGATTACTGTAATGTGCTCTATGTGGGGCTGCCTCTGAAGAGTTCTCAGAAAATCCAACTGGTCCAAAGAACTGCAGTCAGGTGGCTACAGGGAACTGACAGTTGTCTTGTTGCAGCAGCTCCACTGGATGCCGATCTGTTTCCGGGCACAATTCAAAGTGTTGGTTATGATCTTTATAGCCCTAGATGGTTCAGGTCCAGGCTATTTGGCCAACTGCATATCTTTGTACAAACCTGCCCAGGCCCTGAGATCTTCAGGAGAGGCCCTTCTCTTGGTCCCACCTCCATCTCAAACATGATTAGTGGGAATGAGAGAGAGGGTCTTCTCACTGGCTGCCCCTCGACTCTGGAACTCCCTGCCCAGGGAAGCCAGAATGGTCCCCTCCTTGCTGTCCTTTCTGCAGCAGGCTAAAACCTTTTTATTCAGACAGGCTTTAAAAGATGAAGGTTCTTAAGATCAATTCAGGGGATGCTGTGGTTTTTAACTTTTTAACTTTGAATTTGTTTTAATTATTTTTAAAAGGGATTTTTAATATTGTTTATATTAAAAATTGTTTATATTGTTTATATTATCCTGTTTTAATGTGTGTATATTTTAAATTATTATGCTGGTGATTTTTTGTTAAGTCATTTTGAGTCTCCTTTCAGGGAGCTAAAGTGGGGTAATAATAATAATAATAATAATAATAATAATAATAATAACAACAACCAAATTTAGAGAGCTCATTCCTAACGGTTGGTGAAGTGTGGTCTTGCAGATGTTGTTGAACTCCAGCCCCCTTCAGCTTTCCTCACTAAAGACTATACTGTCTAAAGCTTAAGGTGGGTACAGTCCAACTTTATCCACTTCTACCATGCATTATTTCTCCAAGCCAGGGCCAATCTAGGAGGAAAGCAATCAGAAAATAAACAGACTTCAAAAGTAAAGACATGCATTTTGTCCTTCTGGTTTACACTATCAAACTTTTTATGTCTCTAAAGATGTTAATATTTCATGCTTTCATTCAATGATGTGTATCTTTTAGTTGCTAGATTTCTTTTAATTATTTTTAGCCAACATTTTTTAAAATTACTGCTATATTGACCATTGTATGTGGCTTTCCTTTGGTGAAAAGTAAGTTTAAAATGCCGCTTGAGTAGCATCTTCACTGTAGAATTAATGTGGTTTGACACCACTTGGCTCAATGCTATGGAATCCTGAATGTTGTAGTTTGGCAAGGCACAATTCTTAGGCAGAAAAAGCTAAAAGATATTATAAAACCACAACTCCTATGATTCTATAACAGAGGTGTCAAACTTGGACCTCCAACTCCCAGATGCCCTAGCCAGCTTGTCCAAGGACCAGGAATTCTGGAAACTGAAGTCCAAAACACCTGGAGGGTCACAAGTTTGACACCACTGTTCTATAGCACTGAGCCGAGGCAGTTAAAATAGCACCACACTGCATTGATTCTACAGTGTAGATGTACCTTCTATTAATCAGTCAAGGAAAAATGAATACTGAATAAAAGAGATTACAGAGGAAAGAACTATACTGAAGATGCAACCATCCTGAACAGTCCTTTTACCTCTAGGTAAGCTTGCATATCATTCTGCATTAGTTTTGCTGTTCTAGAGACAATAGTAGTGATACCACAGCATTGCTTGTCAATGTATGAGTTGTAAAAACTGCCATTAAATCTCAGGTGACAGTGCCTGGGGAGAAGCCCACTGTGATATCTGCAGGAGGTATGAAAATGAAAAGAGCTTGGGGGTTTTAAAAAAATCCCATTTACCTTTACTGCCAGATCATAACAGATGGTAAGATCTAAAGGAAGGCATGCATTAAGGATTTAAAAGCAAGCTGTTTATTCTTCAGGGTTTCAAAGATCCCGTGCAGCAGAAAACCTTTCCACTGAAGTCTATTGAAACTGTACAACAATAATGTTTGACAAAAATAAAACAAATCTATAGCACAGGTAACATGCAGAACACTGATAACAGAAAAGCGTGGGCAGGTTCCTTTAAAGTCAGTGAGATGGCTGCAAAGGCTATGCAGAATGGTATTAAAAATACAACAGGTGAATTATGCGAAGGAAAGTAAAGCTGAAATATGAAACAACACCTGGCACGTAAGCCAATAAGCCAGATGGAAAAACTAGATCATTCCATATTTGATGGCTATTCACCCCAAGAGAGTGTTATCTGGAATCTTGCACTATTGAATTGTTCAAGAAGCAGCGTTGGTTGGTCAAAATGCCTAACAGTTTGGAACTGAAGTATGCTC